CAGATTGTTATTTCATTATCCCTGATTGATCATCAATTTCAGCAATTAAGTGAATTTTCCGATTTAATGAATTTTTCGCTATAGAATGTCGGTGGTTCTGTGACTGCTGGTGAGCAGTGTATATCATTGAAGATGATCCTACTTGGTCATTGCTCTCTTTCTTGTTCTAAAAATGTATGTACCTAACTTCCTTCACGCAAAAGCTATCTATAACTGGGTAAAGATATGGGTATACGAGGTTTTTCCATGAAAAGTACCAAAAGTTTATTGTCAAAAATGTTAGGGCAATTCAAAATGAATAATATTAGCGTAAATATTACATACATGAAAACAAATTTTTTTGACAACGAAGATAAATGTATAAGTGAGGCATCTCTCGAAGTACTTTTCAAAAAAAATATATACCTAGTGAGAAAAAAATAGTGAATCTGGTCAATTTTCTGGAATTTTTTTCGACTATTTTTTTTTTAAATTTTGAAAAATTACTCCGAGATATGCCTAGATCCAACCTTCTTGAAACGATCCGTGAAAAAAATCTTCAATTTATTCAGCGAGCTCCGAGTATTTTGATTTCTGCCGTTCCTTGTTTCCCCAATGATTGCTCATAGGGTTAAACCCCTCTTAAGATTTTCCTTGTCGAAAAAACCACGGGTACCAGATTTCGTGTATATAACTCATTTTTTGCAAAAGTTATTTTCGGAATCCGAACGAAAAAATTCAATGTCAACACTCTGTACCTCCGGAATGAATATAAGCATTTCCGGACACAACTTCACATTGACTTCTTTTCTTAAAATGATCTCACGAATACGTCATCACTCGAATATTTAAACGTACTTATGTTACCTCCTGTATACTATACTATAATGTTTCAAATGATTCTCTACGGTTTGATTAGCTATATATAGACCCAAATCCTATATTTATATCGGTTGTTTTTTTCACCCCCAAGATTTCGTGTACATTTTATATCGAATCCCATTACAAATTCAAATTTTTCCAACCGTATTTTTTTATGAATAGAATCAATCAACGTAGAGAGGATTGCGAGTGACAACATTAAAAAATAATCATCGAACGATGACTTTTTCATTTCTTGAATCGATGGCACACATGTTGACACCTTGCTTAATTTGCATTTTTTTCTCTCCCTTCCTTGATGCTTGTTGGGTATAGTGATGATGGAACGCATATATATCTTCGTAATCGTTTGAAATAACCCTATATATCAAAACCGATTATGGAATAAAATACAGGATGTTGTATTTGAAATAAGAAAGTATGGTATTGACCGCTGTTACACATCCTGTATAAAACATATTTGTTGGAAAAAATGCGCTTCTGTTTATTTATTCAGTTTGGATGATACTGTATACAGGTCCTATTTATTTCTCATCACAACCACAGATTAACAAAGTGTCACAACAGTATAGGCAGAGATTATGGTACCTATAGGTATTGGTGCGCTAACTATGCGTTTTTGTTTCGTCAGACTGGTTCTTGATATAAACAATTGAATGACGTGGGGTTCACCTTTTGAATGTTAGATGGCGTGATTCCTAGAACTTATGATCAACATCAGTTCTACCAACCTTGATGCGGCTAAATCACAAAATGTATTCCCTATCTTCATTATTGGTTACAATTCGGTCACAATTGTCACATTGATGCCTGTGAGTTTGGTACGGCACCAGATTAAACTTAGCGAGATTCACCCACGCCATGTTATGTTTATCGAAGTAGGCGAAAATCAAGGGATTGTAAAACAGGAAAGAATTGAAGTGCGTGTAGAGGTTTATTTCATCAATGGTATATAGGTATGCCCATTTAGAATACGAAATTTTGGGAAAGGTTCATTCTGACTTAGACTTCAATCTTCAATACTTCAAAATCGGCCATTGAAAATAGGTAATTGATGAATAATTTATTATTGAAGGACGATTTTTCATTAGCTTACAACTTACCCTTACATGCACTCCAAGAGATATAAAAAAAAACTGATAGGTATTGGAAATTTTTCAAACTAATTATGAGTTCTTGGGATAACTTCCCTTGGCAAAGAATTTCAAAGCTTTGCCGTTCTCTGTTCTATATAGACAAGGGACGAAAAGATGTGTTGATATTGGGCCTGTCGAGTTCGTCTGACTGGTATTGCTAGTGATGGAAAGATAGCAGAGATTTGATTTGAAGAACATTTTCCGTGGAAGAATTTGTAAAAAAGTGAAAGGTCGCCGACTTCTCTATACGAAGTACCAATGATGTGAAAGATATAGTGATCGTCGCATCACCCACAGTAGGGCATCGCGAGACCAAGAGTCAAGTCTTGGCCTTGTCTTGGTCTCAATGCAAGACCAAGACTCAATGAATCTTTCCAAGACCAAGACTGAGGCCAATTGCCCTGTTATAATTCATCTCCAGGCAAAGTAATGGAGAAAACCATCAACATTAAGCTCATCAAATATCTATGGGAACTCATCAGGAATAATTAATGATAGACAATATGGCTTCCGCCACCGAAGATCAACTGGAGATTTACTTGCCTACGTCACCTATATATGGCAAGCTGGATTGAAAAAAACATGGGGAACCTCTATAGCTGTAGCGTTAGATATATCGAAGGCATTCGACCGTGTTTGGCACCAAGGACAGCTCCACAAACTACCATCATACGGCTGACCACCTCATCTTTTATAGAGTTTTCCATCAGGCAGATGTGGTGGTGGACGGAGTATCGTCTGATACCATTGCCATCAATCTCGGCGTTCCACAAGGATCAATTTTGGCACTAACATTTTGTTCCGACTTTATATCAACGATCTATTGGGAGCAACCACTTGCCCTATCCAGAGCTTTGCAGACAGTAGTTTCCATACGGTGTTTTCTGCAAGAATTCCCATTTCTTCCTAGGAAACCATTAGAACTTACCACGTAGGCAGGCCAACGCTGTCAATGAAGATCATGCGAACATTACAGCCTGATGGGGAACCAACAACCTATAGTTGAATTCAATAACGCCACCAAAACTCAAGCCTGTATTTTCTCTATAGTAAGAGGCGAAACTCAGTGTGCCCGATATGAGAAGGTCTGGTACCATTCCCACCAAAACCACTATATCTAATCTCGGTATATTACTTTCAGCCACACTCTATCATGAGGTAATCATGTTCGATTCATTGCAAAAGCTGTTTCAAAGAAACTCAGATTCTTGTTCCGTGTGAAAATCTATACTTTACACCTCAACAGCTTATTCTCATGATCTACAAAGCACAGAAACGGTATGTTCAGCACCCAAAACATATATACGCCGATGCTCTTAGATTCCATCACTAACTCCTTGACCTCATTAGAACACCGTATAAAAGTCGGCGACTTTTCACTTTTCCATGGATACTTCCACGGGAAATGTTCCTCACATCTCTGCTATATATTCAAAAATGTCGAACAACACTCAACCAAAACTCGTTCGTCTATATATAGAACGGCGAAGCTTTGGAATTCTGTGCCAATAGAACTAATAATCTCCAAAATTTCAAAAAAAAATTCAACACCTACCTCATCTACCTATCATTCCTAACGTATACGTACGATGTTCCACGAACATTATATAGGAATGTCCTTTCGTGCGCTCCAAGAGATATAAAAAAGACAAATTAATTGAATGAAGAGATTTTTTAGGTATACAAATGTAACATGCATAAGTATTTAACATAATATGAGTGGGAAGTTCCTCACACTCAAAATATCAGAAAAATATTTGGACCTAAGTATATATCCCGTCAATCATTGCAAAAAGCTATGAGGAACAAAACGAAGTCAATAATATGTGTTGCTCCATAAGGGAAATCAAATGTGGTGTACCACAAGGTTCCGTTTTAGGTCCAATTTCATTCTTGATTTACATCAATTCAATATCATCTCTGAAACTAAAAGGAGATCTAAAGTTATTTGCAGATGATAGGTACTACAATAATCTATTCCTCTTAAGAATTTAACGATATAGTTGATGATACTATAATAAAAATTGACTTGAAAATTATATCATCTTGGTTACAAATTCATAAGCTGACTCTTAACTATATGACAAATTTACGTACCTATATATGTATATTTCAAAAAGAAAAACTGATATGTCGAGAACATTAACATTTTTCAACCAGAAAGCCATAAAATATTTAGATCTTACAAAATTCTTATACTTATCTTATTGATGAACAATTATCATGGACTAAACATATATAGATCACCTGAGAAAAAAGCTAAATCCAATTACTGGCATTTTATACGAAATTCGAAATTTCATTACTCTTAGATATTTGAATAATTTATATTTCTGTCTGATTTACTCAAAATTACAATATTCAATATCACTTTGGGGAAGCACATCAAGTATATCACATTTGAAACCATTAATGAAATTACAAAATAAAAGATTGAGTGCATGTACAATTTACATTATACCTGGAACCAACTACCTATTAATCTTTATAATCCAAAAAATCTGTCGAATTTATCATCTTTATATAAAATGAAAATTTGTTCTTTTATTCACTCTGTGAAAAAAAAAATATCCAATTTGAACTTTACTGAAGTAAATACAATTCATACTCATGAAATGAGACAGTTGAATATTCATTAATAGCAAACCCATATGACTCCATTATTGGCAAACAATCACAATCACAATCTACTACGGAATCATTTTATATAATTCATTGTATATGATTTGAAACATGTCGATGATGAAACAAGTTCAAAGTCAATATGAAAAAATATATACTCATGACACTATAAACGGAGCAATTTATTCTCATTTAAGTATTTGGAATGATTTTATGTATTATGTTATATTGACATAACTCGTTAATTAGTTGTTTTTTTTATATGTTTTTAGTTGTATTTTTATATGTTCATACATTCCTATTATATTATGAACAAATATGTTTCTTAGGGAAATGAAAAAAAAAACAGAAAATAGTAAAAAAAAAAAACTAGCGACTTACCATGAAACACCTCGAAGTCTCGATCCCAGCACACACGAACACGGATCACCTAGCTGCACCAGCGATCATTCAAGTGCGACCTCTCTGCGAGGGCACCGCTAATCCGCCGGTCGACTTGACTCCGCCCCCGCCGGTCAAAAGCCAGACGATCAGTGGCCCGACTCGCCCCGCCCACCGACCTTCCGGCGCTCCCATTGGCCGGTCAAAGGGCGACGGGCAACCTTTCGACCTGTCCCCGATCTGGAAAGTTCGACGTCGTCACGAGCGCGTCGTTAAGGGTCTATTGAAATCGTAATAGCCGAAGGGTAGGGGGTGGGTTTTTTGTAGTAGTTGTTGTAATGTTCATCGTTTACGAATTATCGTAAGAGAGATTTGGGTTGTCGAGTTAATGGTCATCGATTACTGTCATGTGTCCGTTACAGTATAGTATTATTAGAGTACAACCAGTTCCTAAAAAAGGCTAAAAGACCCTACCCATCAGCAACTACAGACCGATCACACTGCTATCTATATTATTTCAAAGATCATGAAGGAAGCTATCAACATCGAGTTCATGAAATACCGGGAACATTCAGGTATAGATATTATCAACAATAGGCAATATGGCTTGCGTCATCATCAGAGATCAACTGGTGACTTGCTGGTTTACGTCTCATATGGCAGCAATCTATTGAAAAATGTGGTGGAACCTTAGCCGTGGCACTTGATATCTCCAAGGCATTCGATCGAGTCTGGCACCACGGACTCCTCGCCAAGTTTCCATCTTATGGCTTGCCTTCCCAGCTAATGTTCTCTACTAGCTAGTTTTCTCTCAAACAGGTCTCTCCATGTAGTGGTCGACGGAGTTTCATCTGACTCTCTTATCATCTTATCATGAATTCTGGTATTCCGCAAGGATCAATTCTAGCACCAACGCACTATTTCTACTCCAATATCAACGAATTGTTGGAAGCAACTTCATGTCCAGTACACAGCTTCGCGGATGATAGTACCCTCCATACCGCCTTCTTTTCCAGGGCTCCAATACCAGCCAGGCAAATCAGAAACGAACGAGGGAGAAATGCTGACAACATAAATATGGACCTGACAACAATTCTCGAATGGGGATCCAATAACTTGGTATAGATTTTCTCTAGAAAAGCCGATCTTACTGTGCCCAACATAAGCTTTTCAGGAGTAACCATACCTTTGAAGACATCTATTTCGATGCTTGGTATATATATCACTATCAGCAATAACCTTTTCTTGGAACAATCACGAGATATCAATAATTGCTAAAAGTGCATTCCAAAAACTGGGTGTTCTGTTTCGGGCCATCAGGAGCTATTTCACTGCCAATCAGCAGTCAGCTGCTTATGATCTATATAAGGCACAGATCAGATTTGTCCTGGAATACTGTTTCCATGCATATTTGGAGTGCAGCACCCAAACATACCCTGAAACTGTTGGGGTTCTGTCCAAAAAAGGGCAATTCGTCTCGTGCGTGTGATGTGATACCTCGCTCACGAACTCACTCACTTCTCTGGAACACCGAAGAAAAGTTGTCGATCTGGCTCTATTTTATAGATACTTTCATGGACGATGCTCTCCTGAAATATCAACAATTGTTCCTTCCTTGGCAGTCCCCGCGAGATTAACCCGTCGAGTTGAGGCTTCGTACCCCTTCGAGGTCACTTTGGAGACCTGCAGAACATCTCTTTCCAAAGACTCGTTCATCCAACGAACAGCGAGGCTCTGGAAGATATTGCCTAGGGAGGTGTTTCCCGAGTCATATTCCCTTCAGAAATTCAAGAACAACAATTCCTACCTTATTCCCTTGGTTCTCACGATGTTCTCAGATGAACATATTACAGGATATCCCTTTTCGCGGGAACCAGAACATAAAAAAAATGACAATGCAGTCATCTTCATCATTCTTGTGAAGTGATAGTGATCAAATATCTGTCACCGTAATTCTGTGATTTGATTTTCAAAATTTGCGAATTTAGTATAGTTATAGTAATTTACGTAACCGCGAAGTCGAATGTCGAATGGAAGATATAAAAGGACTTGCAGTTCTTTCTGGGCTTTATTGGCTTATTATTCGGAACTATATAGCACAACAAAAGCCATCAACATCAGTGTATATATATGTGATATACAGGGTGGCATTTAAATATGGGCAAATATTTGAAACACTGAGAAAGCTCGACGTGCACTATCGAATGGAACTAATAAAAAAATTTAGGGATCAAGATCAAATTTGAGGTTAGACCCATTTTTCCACCCAAAGTTCTACTCTGTAGCAAACCTGACGTCATCACCTCTGTTCAAATTTTCATGCGATAGGCACAATCACGCAGAGTTCAATCATTTAAATTGTTTTAAAGTGGCGAACTTGATTTTTTCTTGTATTTTGTTCAATTTTTTATGATGAAATTTCTCGTTAATTAAAAGAATTAGAAAAAATCTGATATCATGGGAATATTCCTTAGACTGATGTATGTATCATATTAATGTGCTGAATGTGTGCACCTATTTCAAAAACACGACCTTGATATCCGGGAAAATGTACTCACTTTTACCCGTGGCAAAAAAGTAATTTATGAAAAGTTATACATTTTATAACCTTTCAACAGAGATGAAATTTCAAATTTTTTTCTGTCACAGAAAAAAATATATTAGAAAAGTGCAGATTTTTCGACAGTTGTAGCAAGAGAAATTGAAAATCGGTTGATACAGTTTCGTTTCAATAAATTTTTGAACTTGTATAGATATATACAAACCCGTCATCATTCGCTAGTCAGAACTTTCACAAAATATTATATTTGTCCATGCATGGAAACCTACGAAAGCGTCTAGGGGTCACACAATTAAAATATTTTTTTCCAATATATTGGAAAAAAAATCTAATATATATTCAAATCCAGGAAAAGTGAATAGTGAGTGATGAATGTGCCAAGCTGCTTGTTGTGCTAGAGTGCATTAGTAGTGCTCTGCTCGCTCCGACTGATTATATTATTACCACGACTCAATACGGAAATGGACAATGATGGAGATTTACTAAACCTTTCAAGAAATCATACTGATTTTATAATAAAGGATTTTTTTCTGAGTGGCATGCATTATGAAGAAATACTATAGCCTTTCTGTATTCGAGACATAATATGGTAATGAGTTTATCAACACTCAAACGTAAACTGAGAAGTACGAAATTGAATAGAAAAAGGGATTATTCCGCATTATCCACTGTGATCGATTTCATCCAAGCTCAATTGAAGACGTCTGGTCAATTATGCGGATATCGTTGGATTCGCCAGAGATGTTTACAGAATGGACTTGTAGTGACGCAGAATACAGTTACTTTTTGATACGTATATTTTTCGATAATATAATCTGCTAGAATTATGAAAATCCACACCTCTTGCAAAAATCCTATACATAACATGGCAATAAATCGTAGTGGATATGGAGAGAAAAAAGCACAAAGATTGAAGTAGTTTTTCATCATCATTTTCCTATTTTACCCGCCTCTAAAATAGTATTAGAAAGTAGTAGAAAGTAGTTGAATTTTTTTAGTCACTATGTAATTCCCCGCTCGAGTCTTTCAGTCTTTGCTTTCTGTTGTCGCCGACAGAGTTGTCGCTGGCAGATTTGCACACTTCGACCTTCAGCGGGGTTCTATAGTCGTGGAACTTTCCTGGCCGTTGGGATTAAATTTTCAATATATTGAAAAAAAAAACAATATATTTTGGATTTTTTTTTCAACATATTGGATTTTATTTCAATATATTGGTTTTTTTTTTCAACATATTGAATTTATTTTTCAATATGTTGGATTTTTTTTTCAATATATTGGATTTTTTTTTCAATATATTAAATTTTTTTTTCAATATATTGAATTTTTTTCCAATATATTGGATTCTTTTTTGATATTGGATTTTTTTTTCAATATATTCGATTTTTTTTCCAACATATTGCATTTTTTTCCAATGTATTGAAAAAAAATAAATTCATTTTAAATGTGTGACCCCTAGACGCTTTCGTAGAAACCACTCATGATATTTCAATATAAAAAATCTTGATTTCATATAGCCATTTGAAAATGATGTGGAGTCATCATATATTACTCATGTGCCTCAACTTTGCCTACCTTATTCCTCTCTGAATTTTCAAGTGGATCAAATTCTTCGTGGCGGGAAAATAAAAGATGTGACGTGATCCAGAAATCGACACACACTCAACTAGGACATGTACACCCATTACCCGCCACCCGACGCCATCAGAATCCATTAGGGCTGGCATCGGCATCAGAGGCGTCTCCACCGATTTACTTTCTGAAAAAAAAAAAAAAATTGAAAGATTAGTAGATTGGTACCATGGATATGGATTGTCAACAAGATGCATGTTGTCCAGATACGAATTTCACAAACTATATATACTACTATACCCTATACCTACTAATTATGACAAAACACTTTAACAAAATTTTTATTCTTTCTTAATTTTTGTGTTATCGCAAGCGTATACACCTCAGGACAGAATGTTATTTTTCCCTCGGTGCTTTGAATCTCTCAGGCTTCGCCCTCTATATATAGCTACAAATCGCACCTTGGAAAGAATCTTGCATTTCTGTCCCTTGGTGTATAATGTACTACTCTATTGTTTCTGCGTTACTACAAGCATTCGACATGAAGAGAGGACCTGAATGGTCTCTATAAGGTCCCCCCACTAATTTGTTTCAAGTCGTTATATTGAAAAGTATAACAATTTAATTTCGAGGTAATACCTGCACAATTTTCAATAAACAAAAATCTAACGGTCAGAAAGAACCCCAGCGAGCACAAACATCCCTGGGATGTTTTGGGATGTTTTGAAAATGTTGGCTTGGAGATGTTATTTTTAGACGTAATATGCACTGACCAAAGAGGTCTTTGAAGTATTGTTTTTGTTCTTCTGTGGCATTTCTTTGTTTGCCTACTGAGAGGTATCCCTGATGGGATGTTTTGGAATGTTTTAGAAATGTAGGCATGAGGATGTTTTTTTGAGGCGTAATATGCACTTCCCAAAGAGGTCTTAGAAATGGATATTGAGAGTATTGTTTTTGTTCTTTTGTGCCCTTTCTTTGTTTGCCCACCACAACGTCTCATGCTTACGTCACAATACGATGAATTCTGATTTGTTTTCGATTTTGTTCTTCTTGTTCGAATACGAAGTACGAATTTATCAAAACACAGCTTCTCCGCAGTTGCAAAATTATGGATTTTGGGAACATTTCAAAAATTGGGAAACCTATTTCCAATTATTATATGTCTCTGTGTAGTAAGCACTACTCAGAAACCGATTAAGAAGGTAATTTCATATCAAGAAAATGAAAATGTTATTATGTTCAATCTATTTTTAATGCATTTTTTCATTCAAGGGAAATGGAATCCTAATGCAAAAGTTCATTTTGACAAAAGGCTTCAGAAAAGTACCTCGAAAATGTTTTTTTACAGCGATTTAATGTGCGCAAGACGCGTTGAAAATGTTTTGTTGTGTCCATAAAAAGGCTTTAAAAAGAACTAGGGAGAAGGGTAGTTTTGTCACATATAATAATATAATAGTTCTATTCATGTGTGAACAGAACATCGGAGTGGAGGTTCAATGTCTCGAAATCTCGTACTTTTAACATCTCTGAGATATTTTTGTGCTCGCTGGGACGCCACCTGACTGCTTACCTTTCGTAGCCGCCCCCCGCATTTTAACACGATTGAATATTTCATTTGTTTATATTATATATATTATATCCAATCCATGACAAAAAGCATAAGAGTTACAAACAGTTGATTCTTCGTTGAGTTAACAAAGAGAATCATACAGCCGACCCTATAGGCATCTTAATTATGATTGTTATACACACAGTACATAAGCGGACGGCGGTTGGTGATTACGAATATGATGAATCACGGAATGCAGAACGGTTGAAGATAGGAGATTAGACTAGCGTCTAGCGCAAGTAAGGATTTTCATAAACAACGTAGTGGGAGAACCGCGCCAAGCGAGACGCGGACGCCGGCAAGCATCAACTGTGCCCATCACCTATAGCGATTAGCGGCTGACAACAAATGTTATTAAAAGTCTAGTAACACAAAACCGTATAATCTCTGACAAAACTGACACTTTGAATACTGATATGAGGATTTGGAGATTGAGGCCATAAAATGAAAAAATAAAATCGGGATACCTATACCTATTATAGGTATTCATAAAATACAATATTATTCTTTAAGCATTTAAACGAGCATTTAAATGATTTAAGTTTACATCATGAATAAAGAAACTGAATATCTGAATACATTTTTCATTTAATTAATTACTAATAATAAGACTAGTGATAATGGCAAGTAAGTTGATATATTATCAGTATATTTGTGGTATCGTAATGGTATAACCCATAATCAGTGATAGAATAATGTACAGAATGTATTATTCCATTTGAAAATCCAAAATTGGTAGATGGTCAGAATGACGTGGTCATCGCAGAGAGTATCTGGAGAAAATGTGAAGTTCTATATATATATATACAGTGTGACCCATTTCTAATGGAAACACTCCTGTATCTTACGTAATCGTTGGGTGAGTATCCTGAAATTTGCTGGAGCGAGAGATATACCAAAAATGCACTCTATGACTAAGTGGGGTCATCTTCAGTGATATACACTGCACGCCAACAGCCATGAAACCCCGCACTATTTGAAGGTAAATTGCAACATTTTTTTATGGGCCGTGAAATTTTTCTCTACATTGAACTTCGAACTGCATCTATCACAAATAAAATTGTACACTTTCCCACTTATTTTTGATGGGAGAAGACTTCAAACAATGCCTTCTGAGACTTTGAAAACAGCTGAACGTTTTTGTACATTCTGCACAACAGTTTGATAATTCCATTTTTATAGGTACTTAGTTACGTGTGAAACGTTGACCAAACTATAACATAAATGAGTAGGTATTCTGAAAATAGTTGTATGTCAACCGATACACTCCTTCCATTGAAACATGATTCGGCGCCAATTAATGGTATTGGCATTTTACCTACCAATAATAATATTACATTACTGTTTCGCTCCTTCGCTCCAACGTTCGTCGGGCATGTCGATAGGTGAAGGGTGAAGGTGATGTTTGCCCGCGTCCGCGTCTCGCTTGACGCGGTTCTCCCACTACGTTGTTTATGAAAATCCTTACTTGCGGCAGACGCTAGTGGAGATTAGTAATTAGTATATTACAGTCAGCCAAGTGACAAGGTTGTAAGGTGTTGGGGTCATTAAAGGTGGTGTTGTAGGTATTGTTTGTGTGTGCCTCATTACTCGCCCCTTACATGATTTTTGAAGGGACCTTTATATAGTTCCCAATAACCATCAGGCTACCCAGTGGAATGTTTAGTTGGTAGAAACATTAAAGGAAAGAAAGAAGGAAGGAAGGAAGGAAGAAAACACTTGCGATTTTATTCGTTAATACGAATTATTGCATAGTTTTCGGGAGGATGTAATCCAATACCTAATATTCTGGGTGGCATATAGCCAGGAAAGTAGTTGTTTTTCGCTCGTTATCTACCATTTTCTTTCTTTTTATGTACTATTGTGATAATGACTTTGAGTTTTTCTCTCTTCTTGTGACCATTGCATTCCACTTCGAGTATTTGGCTTTTTTTATGATTGAATATTGTTATGTATAAGAAGTATACTCTAAGCTTTACAAATGTAGATGCAGCTTTAGCTATTGACGATCTTGAGGTTAACTGTCATTCGTCAGTCAGTTGTCTAAGTTGTCTTATCGTTATGGTGGCTGATGGCCGGATCATTGTACTGTTAATTCAATGAATAATTAAAGTGTTGTTACTCAGAGTATCTTGTGTCCAGATTAATACACAGCATAATTTGGCGACGAGCTCTGGAAATGAACCTACTGGGTGAGTTGGAAAACTCAAAAATTGTGAGTCTCGTCTGAAGTCATTGAAACTCAAGAGTCAAGGGTACTCAAGGTCGAGTACAAAGTAGCGTCAGTCACGTAGTCCAATACCAAGTCCAGTGCAATGCAAATTTCAAGTGAAATTGCAATATGAGTCTAGTCCTGTCATCAAGCGGATAATATAATTGAGTCAAAGTCAAGTCTGAGTCTGATTACTCTGTTAGTCAAAGTAAGTCCACAGAATGTCAATGATTGGTCAGATTGAATCCTTCAATCCTAAGGAATGTGAAATAACATCTTACCTGGAAAGGCTGGAACAGCTTTTCATGTGTAATGATATCACCGAGGCTAAGAAAGTAGCGCTGTTGATAACATTGATAGGAGCTGAAGCATATGGTGTCCTGAAGGATCTTTTAGCACCTAACTTACCAAGTACTAAAACTTATGATGAGCTAGTGTTAGAGCTGAAAAATCACTATAGTCCAAGGAGATTAGTAATTGCAGAGAGATATAAGTTCCATACAGCCTATCAGGAAACTGATGAAGACATTAGATCTTTTGGAGCTCGATTGAAGAATTTAGCAAAATTCTGTGAATTTAGAGGGTTCCTGAATGAGTCATTACGAGATAGGTTAGTATGTGGGTTAAAGTCTGATAGTATCAAGAGAAAATTACTCACAGAAGCTACATTAACCTTTGAATCTGCATATACAACAGCTATTGGAATGGAGTTAGCAGAGGGACAAATACGTCAAATGGGTTCTGAAAGTGGTCAAGTCAACAAAATGTTCCAAAAACCAGCTTACAGGAAATCAGGTTTCCACCAGTCAAAGAGTTATGTCAGTAAGTCCAGTCCTAGTACAAGTTCACACACTAATTTCCAGAAATATTCTTCCAAGAGTATGAGATGTAGGAGATGTTGTAGAATTCACCAAGATGAAAATAAGTGTCCCGCAATTGCATGGGAATGTTTTTCATGTGGTCAAACAGGGCATACAGCAAAATCTGCTATGTGCAAAAATAGGATACATGACCTAGAAGAGGAACTAGAGGAGGGAGAGTCAGAAGAGTCAGAAGAGAACCTAGAATTGGGTCTGTTGTCAGAAATCCTAGAAGATGGGGTTATAAAATCATTAGAAAGTAACTCTATGGATAGCTTGAAGGTATATATGTCACTAGATAGGAAGAAAATTAAGATGGAAGTAGATTCAGGAGCAGTTAGATCAGTGATTCATGTACAGGATTTTGAGGAAATGTTCCCAAATATAGTCCTGGAACCTGTCAATTTTAAACTGAGAGTACTCACAGGTCAAAGAGCTGAAATATTAGGGCAATTTTTTGTACATGTTGAGTATCTAAACAATATGTTTTATTTACCACTGGTTGTGT